AATGAGGGCAACAAATGTATAGATGTGTTTTATACAATTGATCTATGTATTGTGATGAATTGTATGAGCCCCAATAAATTGATTTAAAAAAAAAAAAGCGGCTGCCTCACATTTGAGATGACAACACAGTCCAGGACTTCTTTATTAAAAGGACAGAAACGCTTTACTGCCACACAAACAAGGTCGGAATGCAATACTGTATTTTCCCTAAAGGATTCTGGCCACTTGTCATGTTCACTCTACCATTTGTGGGACATATAATTCAGCCTACTAATAAAGAAGCTACCTGCTTTGGGTGTACCTAACAATCCATTCCTGCGCAACTCCCTCACTCAGCTTCCCATGCCCACAGGAGAGCACAATGCTGTCCAGGGGCAGGGCTGAACTTCCCCTGCAGCCCTCTTCACTGCTGTTCGGAGACAAGACCTCGCTTCGTCTGTCTCATCCTCACCTAAAATTACAATGAGCACCTGCTCCTATTTACCTGTGAATGGAGCACCTAGATTCCCATGCTGCCTGATCTGTTGTGTTCGTCTCACGAACTCAAAAAAAGTCAGCTACTCTCTAGTTTTGCCTGCTTTCTGGCATATACAAAATTTATAGCAGTTTTTGGTGGGAGAAAAAAAAACTGAATCTTACAGGAGAAACATATCTATTTGCTAGTCATGTAACCCACAATTTGTTACTCATTTCTGTTTGCTTACATTATTTTTAAAACTCAGGAGTAAGGGCCTAGTAGGTCTTTCTCTGGGTCTTACACATACCTGCAGTCCAGAATTGGATGCCCCTGTGGGTGCTTCTCAGAGGAACCTGTATTTCCACGAATCCCAGCACCCACCACACTGTACTAGCATTATATATTTACTTTTCTGTCTCTGCCAACCTACCATGAACTATTTGAGTTCAGGGATGATTTCTTTAATTCATATTCTTTTTTATTAATAATTTTATTAGGGGCTCATACAACTCTTATCACAATCCATACATACATCAATTGTGTAATGCACATTTGTACATTCATTGCCCTCATCATTCTCAAAACATTTGCACTCTACTTAAGCCCCTGGCATCAGCTCCACATTTTTCCCCTCCCCACTACCCCTTCCTTCATGAACCCTTGATAATTTATAAATTATTATTTTGTCATATCTTACACTGCCTGAGGTCTGCCTTCACCACTTTTCTCTTGTCTGTCCCCCAGGGAGGAGGTTATATGTAGATTAGATCCTTGTAATCTGTTCCCCCTTTCCACTCCCCCTCCCTCCACCCTCACAGTATCACCACTCTCACCACTAGTCCTGAAGGGATCATCTGCCCTGGATTCCCTGGATTTCCAGTTCCTATCTGTACCAGTGTACATCCTCTCGTCTAGCCAGACTTGCAAGGTAGAATTCGGATCATGATAGTGGGGGCGGGGTGGGGTGGGAAGCATTTAGGAACTAGAGGAAAGTTGTGTTTTTCATGGTTGCTACATCGCACCCTGACTGGCTCGTCTCCTCCAGAGACCCTTCTGTAAGGGGATCTCCAGTGGCCAACAGATGGGCGTTGGGTCTCCACTCAGCTCTCCCTCTCATTCACAATGATATGATTTTTTGTTCTGATGATGCCTGATACCTGATCCCTTGACACCTCGTGATCACACAGGCTGGTGTGCTCTTCTTCCATGTGAGCTTTGCTGCTTCTGAGCTAGATGGCTGCTTGTTTACTGTGGGGGTAGGTCAGATGCTTACAGATATCCTCCCTGAAGACAGTCACCAGACCAAGGGGTGGGCCTGCTCCCTGCTGCTGGGGACAATGGGCTAAGGCTTGCAACCATTAGCTTGGTTCCTGTAGGTGCGCTTCACACCCTACTGATAATGGTTCCTATGGAGATCCAGAGAACAGATCAAACCCACTCAGTGAATCTAGGATCCACCCATCTTGTCACATGTATACCCCCAACCCCTCCTCTTCCTATTGCGTGTATGCCCCTAGACCATCCCCTTCCCTTACCGTATAACCTATAGTGCAACCCCTTCCTGTGACGCATGTCTTTACCTGTAATTAGTCGGCTTTCATGGCCCCAAAAGGTATATAAGCCCGGGTTAGCAATAGAGGTCTCTCTCGCTGGTCTCTCTTCCCCCTCTCCTCTCCCATCCTCTGTTTCCCTTTCCCCTTGTCCTCCTTCCCTTCCCCCTCTCTCCACATGGACCACCAAGCAGGGCTGAGGTGAGCATGCTACCAAGAAATGTGTCTGACTCCATTATTGCAATATCTCTTTTATCTCTCGTGCTCTCAATGACTTTAATATTTATATATCTCAACCGTGCAATTGTGCTTACTGAACCTGAGACTAGCGGTGGGGGGTTGGCACCCCACCTCATACCACAGTTTACTTTCAAGCCTTTAAGTAATCTTCATATTCTTAACATATTGCAGGCTGCCAGGCTCATAGGAAACTTTTTAACCAATAAATCAGTGGTTCACAAAGTGTGGTCCCTGGACCAGTACCCACAACATCACCTAGAAGCTTGTTAGAAATGTTAAGTCTTTGAGCTGGTTCCAGATCTACTAAACCAGAGAAACTGGAATTAGAGCCCAGCAATCTGTGCTTTAACAAGCTTTCTCTGGCTGGTTTTGATGCGTGCCAACGTTTGAAAACTACTTCATAAATAATGCAAGAAGGAGGCAAATACAAAGTTATTCACTGACAGACTTCTCTATTACCTAAGCAAATAAGAGATTCTAATTATTCTCAATTTTTAAGAGTTAGATTGCTACACTATTTCCCACAAATACTGTATCTCTATCTGAATAATGCTGGCTGGTTCATCCTTCAATGTTTAATTTGAATCTCTCGTTCTCACAAACCTTTCTGTGCCTTTTCATTA